CTAGCCATCGCTTCTTCCGCCAAGAGCAGACTGTAGAAATATGTTGTGGCCTGATAAGTATAACAAGTTCTACTCTCCACCCAACACTCAGACATCCATCTGGGAAGTTCTTTGCCCCTGTGTAAAGCGCCACTCTTCCTCCACTGCCCAATCACATGTGCGTGCTTTCCTTTCAAAGCCTCACCAGAACATACCCAGCATCCACCTCTCTAGATGGGCTCTGTTGCTGGGGCTGTGTGTCCCCTCCAGGAGGAGACGGACTTTCTCCATAGCTCTCTTCACTGCCTTCCGACCACTCCCCAGAATGGCCTTTGAAGTCCATAATTCTGCCAACAGTCCCTTCAACGCGATCTAGATTTTACCATTTGGCATCTTGGAATGTTCACTCTTTCCCCTTTACTCAATTCCAAATGTGCTTCCACCTTTTAGGGATCTATCAGAATGGCCTCCCTCTATCCTGGTACTAAATTCTGTCTTAGCTATCTAGTGCTGTTGTAACAGCAAGACCGCAAGTGAAGACCCCCACAAACAGAAACCCCTTCTCTGACAGTCCAGGGAGTTAGACGTCTGAGAGCCCCCATCCTCATTGGCTCATGGGGGCGGGGGGTGGCCCTGCACTCCCTCAGTATCTGTGAACTTGGCCGTCCTTGGAGATCTCCATGTGTCCCGGCATCAAGCTTCCCTGGATCTAGGGGGTTCTCACTGCGGGGCCCCTGGGCCCCTGAACATGCTCCATTCTGGCTCTCCTTTCTTGGCGGTGGTCAGATTCCTCCTCTCTGCTCCCTTCTTTTATCTCATGCAAGACAAGAGGTGCGGCTCAATCAAGGGTGTCACTGAGGAGCAAGGGTGGGACTTACGTCATGCGCTCATATAAGGCTGTGACTGGAGATACAACCCCCTACCCCTGCCTCATGGACACTTAGAGGCTAGGATTTACAGCCCACATCATATAATGGAGGATAATTCTATCAGGTCATGACATGGAAGACGACCGTAGAATGGCAGGGAGCACATATTTTGGAGATGGGGCAGAACTTGATCTGGGAAAGGCTGCCTGTGCTGACACTGGCTGTGTGCCCTCTTCCTTCAGCCCAGGCATCAGCATTGTAGTCATCATCAAAAGCCCTTTATGAAGCGCCTTGATGAATATCCCTCACCCTGGGGGGGGTGGGGAGGCAAGTTCTGGGACAGCTTCCCAGCAGCCCCTAACATCTGGGGCTCGTCGGCTCAAATAGACAGCATATATGTCAGCCAACAGCAAGGGCTTCCAAAGAGGGAGCTGCAGGCCCCATGCCCAGGGTACAGGACCAGATCTTTAGGCGACATTCATGCCAAAGGTGAGACAGGCTGGTTTTCTGCAGGGAACTGGGCCTTGGATTCTCTCCTAAAGCTGGCTGAAAGCTCTCTGAGGATGAGGGATTTTATCAGTTGCTAGGAGGGAAAGAGGGCAGGAAGAGAGAGAGAGAAGGAAGAAAGAAAGAGCAGTGGGAATGGGAAGGAGACGGAAGGAAATCATAGGACTGAGGCCCCATGGCCAGGGTCCCAGTGCAAAGCCTGGGAGGACACCAGAGGCCCAGCAGAGCCATTCTTCCTGAGACCCCCATGCTCCCCTCCCCCCACCCCCAGCGCTCCCCTGAGCACCCCCGTTCTTCTCCCTGCAGGTGTTCCAGGAACATGGAATCCTCTTTGGCTACCGGCACCCACAGAGTTCAGCCACTGCCTGCCTCCTCAGCCTTTTCCAGATGACCAATGAGACCCTCAACATCTGGACTCACTTGCTGCCTTTCTGGTATACCTCTGCCTGCTTGGCTGGCCTGGCTCATCCGGGAGCCCCAGAAGTGGGGTTTCTCTGAAACGCAGTTGGGGTTGGGATGGCGGAGGTGCTGAGCTGGGATTTGGGGACTCCTCCATCCAAGCAGGTGTCTGGATATAGAGGTGGGTGGTGTGATGGCCATGGGAGATGTTGGGGCCTGTCATTAGGATGAACTTTAAGGCATGAGCTGTGGTGGGATTTGAGGTGCTCCTGAAGCCCCTCGTCTTCCCTGCCCTCTAACTCTAGTGCTTGATTAGGTAATAACTATTTTCATTGCCTTCCATTTTAGAGGGTTTCTGGGTCGAATCCCTGGTTAGGCAGGTCCCTTCACCTCTCTGAGCTGCACATCTCCCCACCTGTGAGGCAGGGGTGGGAGCAGCTCCTCCCCAGGGTGCTGTGAGGGGTACATGGGAGGCGCTTAGGCCCCTCGAGTGGAGTCAGTGTGGAGCAAGGCTCAGGGAGGCCCTGGGCTGCAGAAAGGTGAAGAGGGCCCACGGAGAAAGCCAGAACGGAAACCAACTTCCAACTCCTGTCGCAGCGTGGCTTGCAGAGTAGCTAGTGGTGACAGGGTGGGACCAGAGTAGCATCGTGTGTTGCAGTTGGGAGGGTCTCAGAGGTCATGCAGGTCACTCTCTCAGGCTCCCAAGGGCTGGAGTCAATGGAGGGCCTTCAACCCCAGTATCTTTTCAGTCCATTCTCCCACAAACTGTTCAAGTCCCTCACGGGTGACCTAAAAGAAGGGGGTGACTTGGGAACATCGCCCAGCCCATCACGGTGGAGGCTGGTCTCTGAATTCCTTCCAAACGCAGGTCAGGAAGCCAAGTGAGTAGGAGGGGCTGCAGGGTGGCCTGTGGGGGGAGATGGTACAAATGCGCCCATTTGGAATCAGTGTGCCTGACCTCAAGTTGGAAGATGGGACAAGGGCCAAAACCCAGGGGAAGGCTGTTTGACTTCAGCAACCACCTAGTGGGAAGAAGGGGACTCAGATTTGCGGGGGTGGGGGGGTGGGGAGTGCAATCTGTCACTTAGGGTGGCAGCACGGTCTTGCTCTAGGCGGCTATAGGCTGCCTCCTCTTTCATTGAGACAAATTGTACCTCGCTGTGATCATGCGTCTGGGGCTGCCCTCTGAGGTTTCCTAGGTTGTGATTTCATGGAAGCGAATCACCAGCGCTCTCTGCTGCCAGACCACTAACTAAGTGGGCTCGAAATGCCACCTTTGGGTCAGCAGCCATGCTGAAAACCATGGACTCACCAGGGCTTGTGAGTAAAAGTCTGATGCCGCTGCTGTGTCAAATCTGAGCAGCAGTGACACTTCAAGACAGCAAAGAATTCCTACATGGTTTACAAAGCTCTGGTATGTATTTTACAGTAGCATGCTGGCACGTCTTTCTCCCAGAGTGGCTGGTAGGCTCGAACTATTGACCTTTTGGTTAGCAATCGAATACTTAACCATTGCACCATGTTAGGCTGGGCTGTCTAGAGAAACGAACTATGACACTCATTGATGCCCAAGAAGGAACTGGACATCAAGACGCCTCAGCCCACCTTAAGCCCACGGTTCGATGCTAGCCCTCCTCAGACTCAAGACCACCCCCCAACTCCCCGCCCCAGCCAAACGAGACCTATCAGGTTCTGACGGATAGGCAGGTTGGATTCCAGCCCTACACTTCCATGCAAATTCAAGTTGGCATAACATCTAACTTCCAGAGCTAAGTTCTAATAAATGCTAATGTTGCAGAAGGGAGTGGAGTCCACTTCTGCAGGCAAAGCTGGAATCTCCTTGGAGGTGACTCACTTCTTGTCCATCTGCTCAGAGCCACCCTGGGGCCGTGTGAGCCCTCTCAGCCCCAGGTCCTTCTCCCCACAACTCGGTCCTTGTGCAGTGGGGCCAAGAGGCCTCGTGCTGTGGGCATCTGTGTCCTCGGCTTGAACAGCAGCGGCATGATATTCCGCTTTAGGGACGAGACACCAGGACTGAGGCTGTTGGGATGTTCTGTGCCCTCACCCTTGTCTGGGGGGTCTTTGGGCTCCTGTGTGAACATTTCTGTGGGATGGCTCTATAGCTGCTTTGCAGCCCAGAGAGCGGAAAGAGGCCCACCCACTGTGCACAGCATCCCTACTCCATGCCCATCGGAAAGCTCAGCAATTCGACCCTTCTGGAGGAGGTGGCCATCTGCTTCTGCAAAGACAGCAGCCTGCAAAGAGCTTCTCCTCTGCCCTTTGGGGACACAATGAGTTGGAAGGAATGGCCTGAGTTTGGTGTTTTTAAGGAATGGGATTTGTGGCAGTTACATAATCAAGCTCCTGTCAACTTGCAAAGGGGTGGAGTCTAGCCTGTCAATCAGGTCGTAGCTTGATGACCTCCTTTGAGGTGCAAAGGAGACACATAGCTCACTGGAGGCCAGATACACTCTCTGCTTGTCTACCTGCAAGACATTCCTGTTGACAAGCCACATGGAACTACAGTGATGGAGCCGGAGCCCTGGAGCTGGAGGAACCACGTGGAGACCCACGTCAGCGTTGAGAAGCTTCCACCACCACCGCATCCACAAGACTTTCCACCCACTGACCTGTGATCTTCCTGCACTCAGCGTCATTGCATGTGTTGTGTGATTCTGAAGAGGAATTTACGGGCCAATATTGGACTTATGGACTTGATCTGGACTGGGCTGGGATGTTTTATATACTCTTGTATATAAAGCTCTTTCTTATACACATGAATATCTATGGATTTGTTTCTTTAGTCCACCTGGACTAACACAGGAGTAGAGGCAGTTCAGTGGTAGAATTCGGACCTTTCCTGCAGGTGACCCAGGCTGGATTCTCAGCCAGCTCACCCTCAGGTAAAGCTACCCCTTGGCCTGGCTCACGCATTTCCCGGAAGTGCAATCAGGTAGGGAGTGGCCATCTCAGCACCCTGGGAGACTGAAGAGCGTCAGGTGAGGTACATGAGAGAGACCCTGGCCACAGAGGTTGAGTGTCCCCTCCTGTGTTCCAGGTTCTTTGTGTGGAGATTCATGAGCATGCTCTGTGTGACAGATGTCCAGAATGACAGCTACTCCTGGCCTCTGCTTGTGTACATGGGCACCAGCTGTGTGTACCCCTTGGCGTCCAGCTGTGCGCACACCTTCAGCTCCATGTCCAAGAATGCCAGACACATCTGCTACTTCCTGGACTATGGTGCCGTCAACCTCTTCGGCCTGGGTACGTGCGTCCCTACTCTCGCCTTCCCAGCTCTCCATGACGGGTGTCTCGGCCCTTCCCCTGGGTAAGCTGGAGTCACCATCAGGTTGGCAAAAGAATCATACCCATGCTCCTGTCCAGATGCCCGATGAGTGGTTTTCTAAGAAACGTCTCCAGAGGTGTGCTGGGGAATGGTCTCCCGCTTGCAGTGTGTGCCCATGTCCCTGGTATAAATACTCCCACCATGTGAAGCTGCCAATAAGACATCCCTGCTGGAATTCTGCTGAGACCTGGGAACCATCATGTGACCCTGCTGTGCAGGGAGAGGGGAAGTAAACACAGTGTGCCTTTGATCACCGTCATCCGCTTCATGGGAGCGGATGCAGTTTCCATTTTAACCATGGCCTCTGAGTAATTCTGGACCATTCACAGTCAGCCCACGGGGTCCACGGGACTGACTCCAGCCCCTGGGTGTGGTGCTGAGCACCATACCCAGAGGCTCAGAGGAAAGACGAGATTTGCTCCGAGGGCCCCTGGAATCGAGTGGCAAAGGCAAGGCGGATAAAGCTGGGGGCAGACACTCCCAGCCTTCTTGTCTCTCTTCCTCCAGCCCCTGGCCCTCTGCCCTTGTCTGCGCTTCTCGCCTCCCGCTTGTGGGCACCTATCTCTCCCCCAGCATCCTCACACCAGCCGCTTCCTTCCTCCCTCCCCACCCTGCTCTGGGTGTGAACCCCAGTCAGAGCCGTCCCTGGTCCAAGAGGTTGTCCATGAGGTGGGGCTGCACTCCACCCTGCTTCTGCCTCTGCCCTTTCCAGCCAGTGACTGAAAGTCACACGTCCACATGCACCCACATGCATGTATATCTGTACTGTCCTCCTCTCCCCCCTCTCACTCCTCAGCCCTCTGCTGTCTTCTCCTCCCCATTCACCTCTGGACTGGCCAGGCCTGGCCAGGGCAGGCTCTTCTGGCACCATCATCTGGGGTGTCCCACCAGCCTTGATGCGGGGCTGTCAATCTTCCTCTTTCCCTTTTCCTCTTGTGACTCTTCTTGAGTCCTCCTCCCCTGGCCTTCCCCCGCCCCTACTCACTCACCCTCTTCTGCTGGTACCTCTTCCTCTGCTGAGCCTTCTAGGGTGGCAAACAGAGAAAGTGCCCTTGGGCCTTTTCCTTACCCTGGGGAATCCTGTCCACGCCCACCCTTGGCTAACCCCCCTGGACAACTCCGTGCCATTGAGTCGATGCCAACTCATAGGAGTGGTTGTGGTGTCAACCCTGGCTCTGACACTGACAAGCCGGGTGACCCTGGGACATATATCCTCACCAGCCTCCTCAGTTCATGGGATCCTGGGTACCACCGTGGTAACCACCTCCAGAGGAGACAACCGGATCGATGAGGCTGACCACCACTCACTGCCATCCAGTCAGTGCTGACTCATCACCACCCTTTAGGACAGGGTTAGAACTGCCTCTGTGAGTTTCCAAGACCAACTCTTTATGGGAGCAGAAAGCCTCCTCTTTCTCCCACTTCCTCTGGCCAAGGCAGCCCTAAACCTCCAGCCCTAGGTTAAACTGTGAACCCAGACTGCTGGCCCCTTCCCATCCTACCCCTTATCTCCTCTCTCGTAATTTCCTACCTGGCTAACCCTCCAAGCTGATCTTCCAAGACCCACCCCTGGAAAGAATCCTCAAATCCCTCCACCCTTCTAGTCAGTCAGGGTCAGGGCCAGCTCACCTACCGCCTGACCCCTGTCCTTCCGTCATGTTCCACGCAGTCACCCAGGAAGGTCTCTCTACAATATTCTGAGCATGCCATCCCTCCCCACCGAGAGCCTTCCGAGGGTCATTCCTTGTGGTCTAGAATGAAGCCCTGCTGCCTGGCCTGGCCGCTCACATGGCCCTCTAATTGACCCCAGGTGCATTTATGAAAAGGGCACATGTACAAAACCAATCCCTATGGGGACGACATCCTGGGGAGCCTTCAACATCAGCTTACGTCATTAAGAACTGCAGGGCACTGTGCTGAGAGGCCCAGGTTCGGGAGCCAGGCAGCCAGGGTTCAAATCACTGGCCCCAGGTAATTGTAGGCTCTTGAGCACATTTCTTAACCGCTCTGAGCCTCGGTTCTCTCATCTGTAAAGTTGTCATGAAACGAGTTTCTATTAGGGCCGCGCTTAATAAGCATCAAGGAGCTTGGGTGGCAAAGTAGGTTACACTGTGTGCTGCTAACCAAAATGCAGCAGTTCAAAACCACCCGCTGCTGCTCTGCAGGGGAAAGAGGAGGCTTCCTGCCGCTGTGACGAGCTAGTCTCGGAAACTCACAGAGGCAGTTCTACCCTGTCCTGTCGCTTGGAGTCCACTGGCTGGCAGTGAGTGGGCAGTGATGGTCAGCATCATCGATCCTGTCGCCTATGTCTGTACCCCTGCTCCTGTCAGCAGAGGAGGCCTGGTGGGGGGCCCAGGGGCCCCCAGCTTGCAGGTGTCAGAGCCAGGGTTAACACCCGCACCCCCACTGTCACTGGGCTCTGAGTCACCTGTGCCCTGCTCACCATGGTCCCCTCCTCCTCGGCACCCGCTGGACCCTGTCGGCTGCCCCCTCCCTATAGGGCCTTCAAGGCTCACCCCCTGGGCTGCCGAAGGCCCTTTCTGCAAGCCCCCAGACCTGCGTCCACCTCCACTGTAGCTCTGAGTCCGTCCTCCTTGATGACCCATCACTCCACCCCATGCGTGGGTTTCCAGCCCGTGGCCGTGGGGCTCGACACAGGGAGGTGCTCCACATGCATGAGAGGAAGGACAGACAGTCAGCCTAAAGAATGGACAGAACCTACCGGTTCTGCTCCAAAGTTTGCTCCATTTTCTGCAGCCACTGGCCCTTGCCAACGCCGAGGTCCCCGAGCTTGGCATGTGCCCAGATGCCTCCCTGGTTCCCACCTCTTTCTACCACTAGACCATCATTAGGTTTGGTCATGTGAGTCTTCCCAGTGCCTCCCCTGTCCACGCTCCCACCGCACCTCCCTCCCCTATAAGGACCTTCAGTGGCTCCCTGCTGCTGAAAGGAAGGGTCACTGTCCTTGGGCTGACATCCCAAACTACATCTGCACCTTCATTCCGTCCTTCCAGGGCTGGGCTCTAAGATCAGCTCATGTGCCTTATCCTCCACCCACCCTAACACCCACACACTCTCCTCTCCCATCAGTGGTGCTTCCCATTGCAGGGCCAGAGGCTCGCTCCCTAGTGTCACCCACCCCATCGGGCCTGGAACACACCTGGCCCATAGTTGACTGAAGCCAGCACACCCAGGGCGAGGGCTCCAGGCCTGTCTGTCCAGCCTCCTGTTGGACCTCCCTGCAGAGGGAGCGCACACAGAGCTGTGGTGCTCAGCAGCCCCTCTGCGTGCCTGGCCCTCGCTGCATCCCCACCTTCATGAGAGCCCATCTGTCAGGATGCTGCGCTGTCCAGGGCTGAGACCCGTTCCAACCTGGAACGAGAATCCCAGGCCCCTTTATATCCCTGGGATGATGCCCCTGCCTGCTTTCTTAGGCCCTGGGTTGGACAGAACTCCATGCAGGTGGTTGCAGGACCTCGGCAGGTGGCAGTACGTTGAGAGCATTGGATCCCAGGCCCCCTCTACAGGTGAAGTCCGCCTGAGCCCTTGGGAAAGGACCATCATCTCTCTCGCTCTTCTGAACAAGCTTCAGCAAATGGGTCTCCAGAATGTCCCTGGTTGACCCTTGTCTCACCAGCAGAACAAGACGGCTGTGTCTGGCTTCTCACACCCAGCCCAGCCCACCCTGTGTGATAGCCTCCAAGCAACAAGCCCCCCAACCCCCGCCCCACTTTCTCCAGTACTCATCTTTGCACATGGGGACCTCGCTTGGGTGGGGGTGGGGGGGCTCAGAAGACATGCCCCTACTCTGAGAGTAAAGCCAAGCACACTAAGTAAGGATGTACTCGTGAGCGACGACAGGGTGCGCTTACAAACAGGGACCCTATCCCTAAACTGCCTGAATTTGAAGAGTGACTCTGCTACTTTCTAGCTGTGTGACCCCAATGAGTGACTGAACCCCACTGTGTCCCCTGTAAAAAGTGCAGGGCTTTCTGTCTGCCGGGGGTTACACTCATGTGTGGAACACACGCCGCAGCATCTGCAAAGCCCTTGGACAGCGCAGGGCTAGAGTTGGGGTAGGTGGAGAGGACAGGAGTAATGGCACAAGCAGTGATGCAGAAGCGAGTCTGCTGGTGGGCCTGTGGGCATGGTGAGGGCCAAGGTGGATGCTGGGAGTACGGGGAGAGGTGGGGGGGTTTGCGGACACTGGATGATCTTCCCGAGGGGAACAGATAGCACTGAGTGCTGCCTCCTCTTTCTTTCCCAGGCTCAGCCATCGCCTACTCCGCATATACCTTCCCCGACACGCTGGTGTGTACCACCTTCCATGACTACTACGTGGCCCTGGCAGTACTGAACACCATCATCAGTACCGGACTCTCCTGCTACTCCAGGTATCTGAGCTCTCTGCTAGGGGGGTGGGGGGTGGGGTCGAGCCAATGCGAGGATGGCGGGAGAGGCGGGTGACATGAAATGGGCACTCAGGCACCTCAGATGGGACCTCCTGCTGCCGGGCAGAGCTGGCTTCAGTCACAGGGCCCCGAGCTCAGAAGGAGCCTGCCCTTGCTGTCATGCTCTTGAACAAGGCCACCTGGCGGTTTCCTATTGTTCTGCAATTTATGGAGCTGGCCCTGCTGCGAGGCACCTCAGCCTCATCAAACCTCAGTTGGCTCACCTGTAAAATGGGGGCAACATTTTGACCTGTGGCGACGGAAGGAGGGCAGGGACTATTCCTAGAGCAGCTAATCCAGGCCTGGGTGTGGGCTGAGGGGCCTGCCCCTACCCACCCCTGCTGGGCGATGGGTGATCTTTCAGATGCCAGGCTGCTGGCCCTCCGGGAAGCTTCCTGCCCACGAATCCCTTTGGGCACACTGGCTCTACTTCTCTCTGTCTCTCCCTTTCACTCAGGAAGCTCCCTGGAGTGTCAGTGGGAGGCATTGTGATGGGTGTCTCTCCTCCAGTTTGTTCAGCTCTTGGTGCAAAGGGATGGCTCAGCATTCCAGCTCTCTGCGGGACTTACAGAATCTTGCACGTGGGGGAGCCAGGCTGCTGGGTATCCCCTGGGGTGGGGACCTTCTATGGCAGGTCACATTTGAGCCCTAGACACCTCCACCCCTGGCTCCCCTTAATTCCAGGGAGCCTGTCTGAGCGTCCCTATTGAGGAGCACTGTAGACCCACTGGGTGCTTACTGCTTGCCTCCGCTCTGCACCCCGCCCCCTGCAGGAGAAAACGAGGGTGGAGACCCCATGAGGCTCCTCCAGACCGACTTTGGCTTCCTTTAAGGACAGGTTTGACAGGGCCAAGGGAGAAGGGTACACTTTCCAGAAACTGGATAAACTGGTTTTTTGGGTGTTGCTTTGTTTTGTTTTAAAAGGGAAGGCTCCATTCTTAAACAGCATCAAGAATACCTGCTCCCTTAAAAAAAAAAACAACAAAAAAAAACTTGCCCCAATTTGCCTTCCATTTTCCACTCTAAGACAGGCTGGGGGTAGGGTGTAAAAGTCTGGTTTCTGCCATGCCTGGGAGCTAGTGGAGGCATACCTTCTCTCTTCGCTCTTCCTGGAAATGACAGTGCTCCCCTAAAGCTGAGAGGGCTCGGCGCTGACTCCTAAGAGCGGACTCTAAAACCAGGCATTGTAGGGTTGTTAGTTCCTTCTCCCTCTCCGTCCTCAAGAACTCTGACCTCTGGAAACTCAAAGTCCTTCATTAAAACACCAGCTCTGGCAGACAGGGGCTGTGAGAGCTGCACTGATCACAGACAGGGGAGGACGTGGGTCTGCTGGGCGTG